TTTGCTTTTGTGTCTGGATGGGATGCTGGTCCTGCTGTAGCCGAACTGGAAACAGGGGGAAGCAATCTTATCACAAAGCTAATGGAAGACCGCAACTCATGTGAGTTGGAAAGAGAATGAATCCTTGATGTTGTTATTGTTATTCTTGAGCCTCTAGATTTTATTATGTAAGATAATAAATTTCCTCATTATTGAAGCATGTTTGAGAATTTTCTGTTATGGCAGCAAAAGCATCTTAAGTGATGTAAGGACTTGAAACTGAAGACTGCCACTTCACAATTTCACCTGCAGCCAGTCCTATTAACTACGACTCTTCACAAATAAAAGGAACATTTAAGGTTCTGAAAGCTCAGGGACTACCTACAACTCAGAAAAAAATAATGTATCAATGACTGATACTGAAATTCATAATTTTTATAATTTCCATAATTGAGAATAAAATGCAGTACCTCCTTCTTCAATAACTTTATCTTAAATATTTTTCAACAGGATTTTCTTTCCTATAAATCCAGGGGTTGACAAACTTTTTCTGTAAAGAGTCAGACAGTATTTAAGTTTTGCAAAAAATATAAACTCTGTCATTACAGCTCAAAAGCAACCAATATGTAAATGAATGGACATTTCTGTGTTGCAATGAAATTTTTACAAAAGCAGGCTACATTTGGCCTTGCAAGCCAGTTTGCTGACCTGATCTCTAAACCAGTTAACAGTAAAGAGTGTCTTTCTCAAACTTATCAACTTTACTAGACCTTAAAAATAGTTTACTTAAGCTCTGGCCTCTCAGTTGGAGAGTCCTCCCGTAAACTGAAAGGTCGTGGGTTCAATACCTGCTCTGGGCACATGACTAGGTTGCGGGTATGGTCCCCTGTTGGGGGTGGGGATGAGGGGGCATTGGGAAGGCAACTGACCCATGTTTCTCCCTTCCTCTGTCTGGAATCAATGGATATATCCTATGATGAGGATTAAAAAAATTTATTTAAAATACATATAAATTATGCAGAAAAGTAAAAAAGTAACAAGCTTTTCTTGAGCATTCTAGTCATACACATTAGATCACTTGATGTAAAATTTAGCTGCCTTATTTGTATATAAGAGCCATAAAATTAATTTAGAATTGTTAAAATATAACAATTATTACAATAGAAAAAATACAACTTATTCATATGCGAATGTAAATAAAACTCTTTTAAACTAGTGAACCTGCAAGGATTTCTGTATATACATACCTATTATTAAAAGAAAAAATAAACCATCCTATGTATCTCCTAACCTGAATGAACCCCTCTCTTCCAGGAGGCTGAAATTAGAGTTAATAATGGAAGAAAAAAAAGACAAGAATCACATGAACATTATTTTCTTTCCAAACAGTTCCCAGGTAGAAATACACACATTATGTGGACATTTCACTACGCAAAACTATATAAACCCTTTTTCAAAGGACACCATTCTACATTGACATTTATATATGACATTCTAAGAAGAAAACAAGAGGTGAATTTCACCTGTAATCATTAGTCAAGAAAATCTGCACATATACATAAGCACACAAGAATTTTTATAGGACAGTCTTTTTCATCTCATGGCACACATTAACTATTAAATTCTGCAGCACACCAAGAAGTAAATTTTTGCCCTTCTCATGAAAAAAGACATAATTTTGGTTTGTTCACAATGGACGGCTACCGTTGTGTTGGCTATTGTCGTTTTTCAATAATATTTTTTAAATTCTCACCCAAGGATATGTTTATTGATTTTAGGGAAAGGGAGAGAGGTAAAGAAGCGAGGGGGGGCAGGGCGGGGCCCACCCAGAGAAAGAAAAACACCCAACCATCTATCAGTTACCTCTGGCATTTGCTCTGACCTGAGAATGAACTACAAAGTAGAATCAAACTGCAAACTAGGTGTGTGCCTCTGACCAGGGAGCAAACATGCAACCTTTTGGTGTCTGGGACGACACTCCAACCAATTCAGTGGCTCAGCCAGCGCTGCTGTCATTTTTTTATTTGACAATCTAAGGGAAGAGAGGTCAGTACCCCTGACTAAATAATCAGATCTTGCATGTTTTAAAAATTCCTGTGGCACACTGGTTGAAAATCGCTGTTATAGGACATTCCATTCAGCTGTTTCATGCAAATGATGAAAATCTGAGAAACATTAATGTTTAAAACAGAAATAAACACCATTTCAATGTCTGTTCCAAAGTAACCTTATTTTTATAGGCTTTAAATTCAAAAATAAGATATATAAAGTATATGTTTATCCTTTCATAAGCACTGGCATTTTCTACATACCAGGAATTGCTAATGGCAATACATACTTATGAGAAACAGGACTAGGAAAGAGGTTGAGGGGGCTCTGGGGACTGAGGAGGACTTTTACTTTCCCCTTTACATTTTTTTGGGTCTTAAAACTTTCTCCTAAAATTTATTACTTTTTTACTTTAAAAATGGTTTAAAATATATCATCAATATAAATTAATATTGAGAAATACAACAGGAACTAAAATGATTAGGAAAGGCAAAAGTTCTGTGAAAGAAGCTAGAGATTAACGAATTCTCCAGGGTCAGAATGGCCACTTCTACATCATTTAGGTGAGAAGACACGCCGGCTGCAGAAGCTAGGGACGTTTCCTAAACAGCCGTTAGCCTTCAGGAACACCAACAGGCATTAAAATAACCATGTATGGGTGGAGTCTACAGCAACCCAATCCAGTTCCACTGAACCAGTACCCCAAGAGTGGTTCAGGGTAAAAAGTGTCCCCCAGCTCTCCATCTGTAGGAGGTCCAAGCCATCCAAAAAAGATGACTTCCTTGGCTTCCCAGATTCACAGCAGTAGCATAAAATTCTATTAGCTATGTTCTATCAGGTATGCTCCACCAGCAAAGCTCAGCCTTCACAATCTTAATAGGACATGTTTTTAGGGTTTGGTCTTTGGGAAATATTACTAAAAATATGCCATCTTTAAATGGCGTAAGTTAAAACACAGTAAGTTTAAAATGGATGAAAAAGAAGGATCCCACCATCATCCAACATTTCAGACTCTATTACATTAGACTATGGATAGTAGACTTAAGATTGAGAACTTAAAGATAAAATATATAGTCTTTCAACAGCCTGCAAAAGATTAAAATGAATAAAATATCCAATTCTGCCCTTGAGAATGGTGAAGCAATAAACAAGAAACAATCCTTGTTCCCCCGTTCCCCTTCCAAGACTACTAAGGGTTAGCAAAACAGAGAAGGCATAGTAAAGCCTGTCATTCTTACCCCCGCAGAAAAAAGAATGAATTTAATTTCCAATTAAGTAATAACAATGTCTAAAACAAACAAAGGACAGACACAACATACTTCCCCCACACCGAAATTATTTTCATTCTACAAATATTTCTGAGCCTCTCCTACCTGCTCTTCCATGTGAGGGGATACAGTAGTAAACAAACAATTTATAATCCACAAGAGCAAGAATTTAATATTTTTAAATGCTATAATCAAATTTTGTGTCATTTAAATAAAAGTGTAAAGAATTCCAATGTATTTCTATTTATTCCTTCCTAAAAACGTATTAACTGCTCATTAAACTCCAACCTATATAAAAGTGATTAAACAAAGAAACAAAGTCAGTGCAATCCTTTTTAAAGCATACTATATTAACTTCAAAATAAATGTTCTAAATGTCGTCATACTTGAGGTAAATTACTATTAGTAATTTCTCCGGAAGACAAAGCACACTATCTGAAAGCAATGGTATTAAAAAAATAATAATAAAAAATTGCAAGTCTGAGTATTAATCATCTTCCCAAATCTAATAATGCTCTTTTGGCAAATGGATTAAGCCATTATTTATTCGGCAAAATGAACGAGACAATTGTTCATTCAGAACTCAGTGAGAAATATAAAAGAGTATTTAGGGTTAGTGTTCTAAAAAATGCTCCGTAAACAATAGATTGTAATGTTTATGTCCAAGAATTCGTCTACCAAATAAACCCTTACTAGCTGAGGCTTTTACATTCACATCATGCCAGTCCTGGTGCCACAAGACTCATTAAAATGTCTTCTTGAAAATCTCAACTGTATTTCAAAATACACCTTAGATGCAGTTAACTTTACATTTCCAACCTCATTAAAAACCACACCTTAAGGGGGGAAAAAACCCAAATACTGGGAATGGTTAAAGAACCATAGCATATCTATATAGGAAGTGTTCTTTTTTAAACTAAAAAATGTAGTGCCCCTTTTTTCTAGTTAGCCTAAGAATTAAGTTTAGAACCCTTTTAAGGAAGCGGGGACTGTAATGAACTCAACTTGTCTGGTGGGGTCTACGACACCAAGTCGGGCTGCCTTCGTGGCCGGAGCAAGTTTCTAAGGCTTCAAGGTCGCCAGCAGCAGCAGCAGCAGGTAGACAGGAGGGGACGGGAAACGCGGCCCTCGCTCCCGGGTGCGGATGGCCAGGAGCGGCTCAGCACCCCAAACCCAGTAATGCAACATCTCCTTTGCCGCCAGGGCGGAACACACGCTCTCTAGTAATTCAACACCCTTACTTTCAAACTGGAGGCCGGGGAAGAAGTTCTAATAAATTCCTTCCCTGCACCGCAAATTCTATTTCTATGTACGCTAATATCTGTATTTTCAAACTACCCTAAGGAGACGCGCCAGGCGGAGCCCAGGGCCGCGCCCAGACGGCGGGAATCCGACCGTCCCCGGAGCACATAGAAGGGTCTGGGACCGAGGCCAAAGGAGGACCCCGCGCCCGCCGGGAGGAGAATCGTGCGACTGCGTGTTCGGGCCGCAGCCCGGTCAAGACTCGGACCGGGCCTCGCGACTCCGCCGAACCAGGGAGCGGCCTGGCCAGACAGCTGGGCCGCTAGGGCGGCGGCGCCGCGGCGCGCAAACAGACGCGCGAGGCCCTAGCAGCGAGGGCCCCCGCAACTTCTCGCCACCTCGGCGTCTCTGGTGGAGCCGGGGAGCGGGGGCGTTGGGGGAGGGAGGGCGCCGGCGGCTTACCGCAACAGAGAGCGGGTCCTCCCGCCCGGAGTGTGGCTGGGGCGCTCAGCGGCACTGCCGCGCCTGGCGCTGCGGCAGGGAGGGAGAGGCGCTGGTAGGAGCGGTGTGGAGAGGACAGGCGCCGCTGCCACCGCAGACAGCTCCGCAATATGGCCGCCCAGTGGCTCGTGAGGTGGGGGGGAGAAGGCGGGGCTGCCCCGAGCCCCCCGCCTCCCCCTGTCGGCCGGCCGGCCTCGCGCCACTACCAGAGCGCCAACGCCGCTGCCGCCGCCGCGAAAGCCGCCCGAGCCCCGCCCCGCCCCGCCCCTCGGGCTCCCAAGTGCCCGCCGCGCAGGGCGTCGACGCGGTTCATCGTAAGGGAATGGGCCCCGCGAGGAACTGGCCGTGGCCTCCGTGAGTCCCGGGGGAAATGGGGCGATTGCGGAGGAAGAGAGACTTTCCAGGGGCTGGGCACGAGTGAAGCCGGCTGTTAGGGGAAGCGGAGCCGCCCACCCCAAAGCGCAGAGAGCGCCCTCCGCCTCCCTCAAGAGTAGAAACTTGAAACTAGCGCTGGTGCCAGAAAACTCACCGAGGGATTCTACGTCGCCCACAAGGGGGAATTCTTCCCACAGGGAATCCAGAACCACATAGTGTGTGTTGCTTAGCTGTTCAGATTGAAAGTCCTGGATTAAGAGAAAGAAATGGGCCTATTTTAGAGGACTTTATATTTGCAACAAAGAAGGTTAAATTATTTTGGCAGGCCTTACCCAACTAGAATAACTTGCTTTTTCGGGGGCAGTTTTGAAGTTCCACCAAAACCTCTATGGATGTGGCCCCAAACGAGAGAGGAGACTTATCTAGGCGAGGATATTTGATAATTTTTTATTACCACCGACATTCTTTGGCATTTGGAAGAAGTCGATTGAAAAGTTGGAAGTGAAGCCCCGAAGCGCAACCAAACCTAAATTTTTCTAAACTTAGAGAAAAACATTTGATCATACTCTAGCCTACTCACTTAAGTTAGTGGCTGGGACTAGATAGACTTCTGGTCAGTGTTGTGTCATCTATGACATGATCCCTCTCGCTATTTTCTTCTGGGATACAAAGAGTAAAACTTGTTATATAAATACATAAACAGCAAGTGCACAAAATCAGATTAGCCTAGCTTGCTCTGTAGTACTTCATATAGTTTACTTTTATGAACAAACTTTAGATTCAAATAAAAGCCCATGAGTGTACTTAACTTTTATAGAACAATAATTCATGTACTTCCTTAGCATTTGCCTACCCTGAGACAGTAGCTTTTCCTGGAACTCTCTCCCTAGATCACTTTGACTATACTCTTCAGTGAGTTTCACTTGTTACCCTTTGAGACCTCTGAACAATTAAAAGCCCCAAGAGTCAACTCAAAGACCTTTAGATTGCAAATTCCTCAAGGATGGAGGGATGGAAGGCAGGTGTGGGGTTTTTTTAAAATTTTTATTTAAAGATTGTTCCCTGACCTTCTCTCTGGAGTGCAAGAATTACCCACAAGTTGCATGCATAATAAAGTAATAAGTGAATTCCTAGGTGGTACACTAAGTAAAAGTATATAACACACTTTTGCAATGGAAAGTGGAGGGATTCGTTGTTATGTACCAAACCCTGGTGTAAAACGCTTTTATATGACTATTTCTTTTAACAGTTACAACACCCCTGTGCTTGGGAGGAGAAAAAAAACAAAGAATGAAGAGAGCCTCAAAGTAGTTACGTAATTTGCTCAATGTAACACAGCTGTAAAGTGGCAAAGCTATGACCAAACAAGTTACTTTTGACTCCAAAACCTTGATTTTATTTATTCTTTACTATGCAACAGCAAACAAGACAAAACAAAAATGGTAACATTTCAGTTGGCTATCATATTAGTAAATGTTTAAGTAAAAGATAATATCCAAGACTAAGATAAAAAGGGTGCTCACAGACGTTGTGAGTGGATGTACAAACTGAAATAACCTGTTTAAAGAGCAATTTGTCACTGTGATTCAAGCTATTAAAATATCCATGGAAACTGTCATCCCATTTCTGGGATTCTTTCTGAATGAAAAATCTGAAACAGAGCAAAAGCTTTATTCATAAATTCTACATAAAAATGTTATATATAAGATGCAAAAATAAATATGTAGCATTTTTGGTAAGAATTTTAAATGTTTAATGTATATAACATCATGGCAAGTGGGTTTTTTTAATAGTAAATATGATCACACCAATGTTAAAAAATATATGAAGTATTAGAAAAAAAAGAAAAATTGAAACAAGAGTTGTCTCTGCATAGTGTTTCTATAGGCATTTTTTTTCCTGTATTCTATTCTTCAGTATCTTCTATGTTACTTTTGCAGTATAAAAAAAAAATCTAAGTTTTTACTGCAATATGGCTGTCAGTTACACAAAAATAGCAAATCTGAGGCAGGCTAATAAGAAGCCAGGAAAATTCCTTGGCAAATGGAACGGGGAAACAGAGAGACAGCTGACTCGAACTGGCCTCATCCAGCACCCTGACTCACCTGCCTCCTTCTCTCTCGCAGGACCACTCCCTTAAGCATCAAGCCTGCAGGACAATGAGATTCTGATCAGCCTCGAATAATCTTAGAAACAAAACCTCGAGTCTGCTGACCACAGAGACAGAGTTTTGGTCAAACTAGAGTTGACATCTAGGGCTCAGCTGTGTTTCATCTCCAGGCCCAGAAAAGCAGCAAAACCAGAGGAAGCAATGCCATGGCCAATATCAAGCCCAGAAACAATTACCGATGGCCCCCTACCCTAGGGCTGACCAATCTGTAGAGACCAGAACCATCACTCTATAAGCTCACTTTGATGAATCAGCTAATTAAAGGACACATCTGGATGAATATTCTATTGAGATCCTCCCCTGAAATCTCCCCTAAAATTCCAGCCCTTAGAAAACAAAAGACCCTTAAGACAAACATCCCAGTGCATGGCCTCTCTCTGGAGCAACCTCACACCATTCTTCAGCCTTGTATCTTTGCTTTCTTTCTCCTAAGCTCTAAGTGTCCCCACAAGACTTACAGCCAGGGTAGCTAGCAGCGATAGGTCATCCCAGGCTAACCCCCTGAACCTGTCTCCAAAGGCCCATCTTTTGCCTCTGTAACTTGTTTTCTGTGTCCATGGAGCCCAGCTGGCTCACTTCTGCCTCTGTGACTTTCTGAAAGGCCAAGGCAGCTCTCTAAGTAGCCCACTCAAATCTTTCCTTTGAGTGTATTTTTGCTTTGCGTACTAAATAAACTTCCTCTTGTGCTGGAGTACTTGGCACTGAATTCTTCCTTTGCTGAATTCAAGAATCAAGAGGCTACGCCACTTGTAACAAATCTACTTCCTAAGTGAGGCTCTTTTGTGAAGAATTGTAATGAACGGAGTTGACAGGATTTTATAGTCAGAAATCAGATTTAGTGTTGATTGTAACTAATCTACACACACCATAGTTTTAGCTTGTTTCTTACATCAAATACACACACCTTTGAAAGAAATATTAGAGACTTAACTGAAAATTTTCTTTCTCAGTTTAATTCCAACGTTTCAAATTTCAAGGGAACAATATCACATATTTGCTAAAACTACCTTTTTTCAGAAAAAAAATCCAATGGCAATATTTGGCAGGATATCTGTAGTAAACCAAGGCACGTAGGGGGAGGGAGATGTGTCTCACCTGTTAATTCAGCAGTCCTGAGCCCAGCACAATAAGATTGCTGGGCATTTTGAACATTACAAGCAAAAATAGTACAAGAGGAGGGGCGTCCTTGAGTCTCTGTGCTGGGAAAGGGAGCCTCTGTAGCAATTTCACTAAGATAAAGAGCCTTAACTAGCTGAGAAAGCCTTTGTAACTGTATATTGATCCCAAGGTCTAGAATGGGAAGGAGGGGAACCTGGATGCAGGCTAAAGTATATAACCCCTGAACCCCAATAATCAGGGCACTCAAATTAGCTGAATGTCCATTTGTAGCTTTTTTGCACAAGTGTATTTCATAAATAAACTTGCTACTTCATTTCCACTGTATGTGTTGTCTCTCGAATCCTGTTGGCAGTGAGGCAAGAACTGAGGAGGGAAGCCCCTGATGCTGGTCTCCTTAGAAACAATATCAATAGCTACAAATAAAAATTGTTATATATGCACATAATGTACATTAAAAAGAAAGGCCAAAATCAATCCATTATAATCTATCTCTTAAGTCTTTTATGCTATCCTACTCTACTCCATCATAACATATTGGCTAATTCTTTTTGTTTTTAAATTACTTATTTATTCTTAGAGGGGAAGGAAGGAAGAAAGAGAGGGAGAGAAACATTGATCAGTTGCCTATCACACATGCCCTGACTGGGGACCTGGCCCACAACCCACGCATGTGCCCTGACTGGGAATCTAACCAGTGACCTTTCACCCTGCAGAAGGTCACCCAACCAACTAAGCTACACCAGTCAGGGCTATTAGCTAGTTCTTAATTCTAGAATAGTTACAAAGTGTTTATCTTACTAGCACATATAAAAGTACTTTTCAAAAATGAATAAAATTCATTTTTGCCAGTACAGTTAATAAATAAAAGTTTTCTAATCTAGAACAAACATTGAGTTCCAACCCTTTGTTGTTCGAGTAAGACTCAGTCCCTTCCCTTTAGATTCAGTACCTAGAAAAGCAAACAAATGCTGTGCAATATGAGCTATAATATAGACACATAGTGTCAAGGGAAACAGAAGAGAAGGCAATTAACTCTGCCTAGAGAACAGAAAGCCACAAAGGAGGGGAGAGAGTAAAGGGATGAGTTGTGGGAGTCAGGAGGCAATCAGCTTCGAAAACTGAGTGGAAAAATGGCGTTGATGTTTAGACACAAATATGTGCCACAGTTTTCAGAAAGGTAAATTGAGATCATCTTGGGAAATTCAGAATTTACCCTTCATCCTTGAGGAAATAGGAATCCATAAGAGGTGTTACAAAGAAGAATAGTGTGATCTGATTTATATTAGTAACTGGCTGCCATGTAGATCGCTTGGGAAACTGTGTGACAGCGAGGGTGGAGGATGAGGTCATCAGGGACTCCTCCGATGGACTCTTGCTATAAAGGTCCAGGAACAAGAGGATGAGAGACGGGACTTGGGAGGTTGAAAGGAAGAAGAGGGAGTAGAATCTTTTAAAAGTTTTGAGAAGTAAGAGAAACGAAGATGATAAAATGATTTCAGGGTCTCCAATAGGCACCATCATGATAAATGGGAAGCATAAAAGAAATAGAACTGAGAGATCAAGATAATTA